GTTTAAAAGATTTTTATTTAACGTTCGATGATCGTGACACCATTGTAATGCCATTAATCAATGCTTATGATTGCATCTTCACACGATTAGCTCATGTATCTCATCCTAACAAAGGTTTGACGTTTGAAGACTTAATTGCAAAATTAAACATTTTGGCGAAACAGTATAAAGAACAACGAACAAGAGACACTGAAGACGAAGATGAAATAAATCCATATATTAATTTTACAAACATAATTGAACGATGTTATGGAAATTATATTTGCAAAATATTCCCTATATTAACAACATTAATGATTGTGAAACAATTATAAATACATTAGATAAAGTTCGTTTTCATTATACAAATTCTTATCCATTATTTGACATTAATGATTTTTCTTTTAATGATAAATTATCTGGCACAGCTATGATTGCCTATTTGCGATATTGTAGTTACAACTATTATGAAGCAGCAGCATTTTCATTATCAGCTCTATTAGAAAACGAAGAAAACTTCATAGAAAATTTTCCACGTAGTATAACAGCTTTACAAATATCCATATCTACAAAATATTGTGATGAAATTATTTTAAATTTGTTATTTGAACAAGGTACAAATTTGATTGAGTATCTAACAAATTTAAATGAACCGAATGATGGTAAAAATGACGAAGGAGAAGAAAAAGATAATAATCAACATTGGATTAATTTTAATATAATTAAATTTAATGGAAAGTTTTTTGTATTTATTATTGATTCATTTGAATGTAATGTACTACATTACATTCAAATTTCAAGCAGTAACTGCTTGATGACTGATTGCACTATCTAAGTAAGCAGACAATCAACGTCTTATGTATTTATCATTGCAATCACTTGACATAAAGCTAGAAATATTTCCGAAAAGAAACAACCACAAAAGCTGAGAAACCTGCTCATTAATGGGTTCGTCGTCGCCAGCTTCTTACTGACTCCTTGAATTGTTTCTTATACAAATCTGATGGTAGAACAAACACAGCAAAGACCAGGACCGACGGAATGAACGACATAAAATAGCCCGAAAGATACAACCATGGATTACGAGATGCCTTCACACAACCAGACAACAACGAGATGATCAGACGAGGCACTGACAGAATGACGAGAACAATGGGACTAATCACAAGTTGTTTGTGCTCACGGAACTGTTCAAGAAGATGTTGTTTGTAGTTCTGTCGAACTCGGAATTACTGCTCGTTGGCGAGCAGCTAAGAAGATAATGAATAGAGCAGAGAAGAGATTGGCCAAGAATGGAAAAAGGAAGTGAAAAAATAGAATGATCGTATTATAATCTTGAACAGAGTGCGGATAATGAGCGACACACCAAATGCGTTGCTCGTCGTTATTGTCGAACAANGATAAAGAGGTTCATGGATGATCGTGCCCATAGTAAGAAATGGTAAAGAGAGAATCATCCACCGGGCAATGTGCTTGCTTTTCGCCGCATCAAAATTGATTCCTTTGAACACAGTGACCGCCCGCTCAATAGACACACAGGCATTCAGCCAGTTATCTAGGTACAGAAATAATTTGAGGAGAGTTTCGATGGACACGCATCCTCCGTGAAGGATAGGGCGACTGATGGATACATTGATTTGAGTGAGAACAAGAAACCAGAACTTTAGTGTGAGAGTGGTCACCGTGAAAAGCGAAGTGATCGACGATGCAAGAAGGTACATTCCACAGCCGACTTTTCGTGAATCTTTGCTATGAAAGGCCAAGACGGATAGAACGCTATTGATCAGGCTCCCGGCAAGCATGGTTAGCGTGAGAGCTGCGCTCACTTTTACCGAGACCGGTTGATCGCTAAACGCAGTGTTCGATCGAATTTCGTAGCGCAATATGTCATCCAGTGTCAATCCGATGCCTTTGGCATAAAACTGACATCGATCACCAAAGAAACAATCTGTACAAACGCAAATTGTGGTAAATGGACACTCGGTATTATATTGCAAGCACTCTGCTCCATTCTCACAGTAATCAGTGTACCGACACGCAAGGCTTATGTTGTGAGGGAAATCGAAACAGTTGGCGTGGTGTTCGAGCGTGCACAGACACATGTACAATTCGTCAAAGAAACACAACAGATGGAAATCAGTCGCGCATGCTATGTGATAATATTTAACTCGCCGAATACGAGGTAATGCAAGGTGTGTAGAGTTCAGTAGCTCCATGATCGAAGGACATCGTTGTTTGGGACTGATCCGCGTTGAGATGTCTGTGTGTTGGGTTCGTTGAAGAACAGCCAAATAGTAGCTGCCATCGAGTTTGACAAAAACCATGTGAAAATCTACCGGAATGTAGACCGTGACAGTGTGCTGAAATATGGTCAGTTTTTGTAGCATTAGTCTACCTGACAGCGGTGAGTCGTCATTGACAAAGATGCCATAGCCCAGCAAGTATTGAGGGATTTCCATGTTGTGCAAGGAAATCTGTAATTTGTGTCTTGAACGTTCACATCTCGATCTGTCGAATTGTACCGAACAAATACAAGCATAGTTGGAGTTGGTCATACTGGCATCGATTACAACACATTGACCATTGTTCAAGCAGAAGTTTGAAGGGCATGAACGTTTAAGTAGACAGCGCGGGCCAAACTTATTCAGAGGACAAACGCAGATGGATCGATTGCTTTTCGAGCCGACACAGATCGAGCCGGGCGAGCAATTGAAACAGGCTATAGCGATGTGACATTGATCACCTGTCCAGCCCGCCTGACATCGACAGAAGAACTTCTCTGTGTTGGTATACTTGATACATTCACCATTGTGGCAGGAGAGAGTACAATTGTTGGGGCTGGGGATTCGAAAAGCTGGTATA